TCACAGTCTGGATGCTTTTATTTTCCAATAGATATTGTATAAAGTGAGATTTGCCAATTTTGTTTGGTAACACTGTTTTTCAATACAACAGAGATTAAATTAAAAATATCAATAAATGTGAGAATAATCTATAAAATAAACTGAACATTACATTCTACTGGTTAACTCAAAAATCTTGGTTTGACAATACAATGCATTAAACCTTCAGGTTAGAAAAGCATATGAAATAAATTCTGTCTGAATTTCTGAGATGAGAATTATTATTGTTATACACTGATTTATTTGAACTGTGGTCCTCATTTTAGATGACATAGTTACAACCTTTCAGCTGTTGTACCCACTAGTTTTATTCAGGTACACACTGTATTTAGTAATATTTTTGGTAGTTCAAAGCGAACATTTTATTCAATCCTCAGTGGTAAAATGTTCTAATTCCACTGTCAATACTAGAATAGATTTTAGTTAATTATTGTTAGAATACTATAGAAAACATTGTAGAATAAATTGATTGGAAGAAACAGCATACATGATAGACTCTGATAACACTCTCAGTAGGCCTAGCATAGAGAGGAACATCTTAGGGAAGAATTTGATCCAGAAAGGACAATAGATTTAGGGCTGAAAAATATCACCTATAGGAAAATAAACTAGTAGATTTACCTGACAATTGTGAGTTTATTCCTTGACTCAAGCAGTGAGATATAGTTGAATGAACAGAACTGACATAAGAATAAAATAACAGAATAATTGATTGATATATATAGATATATATATATATATATATATATATATATATATAGATATATATATATATATATATATGTATATATATATATATATATATATATATATATATATATATATATATATATATATATATATATATATATATATATATATATATATATATATATATATATATATATATATATATATATATATATATATATATATATATATATATATATATATATATATATATATATATATATATATATATATATGTGTGTGTGTGTGTGTGTGTGTATGTATGTGTATATATATATATATATATATATATATATATATATATTATTTATTCACAAAAGTAATGCAAAGTTTAATGGTTTAAATGGCGAGACATCCATCATCGCAAACAATTCAAATAGTACACAAAAACCTCCAGATCCGTTATGAATGAATTGATCCTTGTTATATAAATTTCTGCCGTATTAGTTGTTATTTTACTACAAGCTTTCGTCTGTTCCTACAGACATCTTCAGGTATATAATAGATGTTGTTCTTGTTTTTTTTTCTCTTAGTAATAAGAGGACATCGAAAATATATGTGTTATTGTTTTATCCGCCAAAAATGTTTATTGAAAATGAGTTATTGGTTTTTTTTATCTAAAAGTCATGAACTATATTGGATCACAGTAATTATTTAACCAAAAATTGGATCAATAAAAACGTGCAATCAATTTACAAATACATGAATTATTCACACAAAACTAATGCAAAGGTTAATGGTTTAAATGAGACATCCATCAATAATAAAGTGCGACATTACTGTAATTATTGAACAATATAGTTCATGCCACTTTGACAGTAAAATTTACCAGTAAAAATTTGTTCATCACCATATTTGGTATAAACGCAAACACTTTAAAAAATTTAAAATCAAACTCAAGCGTTGATTTTGGCTGTTCAAAACCAATAACTCATTTTCAATAGCATTTCGGATACAATAACACATATTTTGGATGTTCTTATTACTAAGAGAAAAAAAAAACAAGAACAACATCTATTATATACCTGAAGATGTCTGTAGGAACAGACGAAAGCTTGTAGTAAAATAACAACTAATACGGCAGAAATTTATATAACAAGGATCAATTCATTCATAACGGATCTGGAGGTTTTTGTGTATTTGAATTTGATGAGGATTGCACGTATTTATTATTTGTAAATTTAAACCATATAAACTTTGCATTATATGAATATATATATATATGCACGTTTATTATATGTATATATATATATATATATATATATATGCAATATATATATATATATATGTATATATATATATATATATATATATATATATATATATATATATATATATAAAACAATATTTATAAAAGAAAATTAAAATATAAAAAAATATATTTTATAACTGAAACAGACTTTAAACTATATATATAATATTTATATATATATATTTGAGAAGTATGAGTATAAACTTGTATATGTATATAATTTCAGTATATTTATTTTTTTTTTGAAAAGTAAAATAAATTATTTACATCATACATAAATTTTGGTGTTATTATTTTTTTTTTTTAAAGTAAAATAAATATAGATTTTAGTTTTACTGATAGTTTAAAATCAATAAATATCTATATCTTTATCATTTTTACCAGGAATGGAAAATTAAATTTAAACAAAAAAAAAAAAAAAAAATCTAAAGAATCATTTTTGAAATGGGAAATTAGGTTAAAAATTCTCTGATGCCAATTCTGATAAAGTGATGGGATGATTAATTGAAATTGAGAATTGGAAATATTAGAACTTTTTGGGGTATTCGAATTTTGTAGTCCAGCTATGACTGTGGTTCCACAGCTACAATTTTAAAAAAATTAAAAGTGTAATTGATAAGATCAAACATAGGTACTGAAATTAAAATAAGATTTTTATTGCAATTTAGTACCTATATAATCACTATATAGCACCCCCACCCCCCAGTTGTTTAGTAGATTTTTATCACCATAAGTCATATATTACAATTTATTTTAAATATTTGATGTTTTGGATTTGAATGTGTTATAAAATAAGCTTATGGTCACATCATGTTGAAACACTGGTTCTCATATGATCACCAATGTCAAGCAATGTCGATCCTCGTCAGTACCTATTGGGTGACTGTTTGGGAATATCAGGTGTTGTAAGCTAGGATGTGCAGGTGGTTTAATGGATAATGACACAGGGTTGTTGAAAAGAGTGCTGAGTTCCAGTTCCCATTGGGTTCATTATATTCACTTACATGCACCTACCCTTGGGAAAGGTATGAATTTACCTCTTGTAAGACTTGTATCACTAAACCATTATTATCTTAAAACAAAAAAAAAATTCTTACAAGCCAAAAAGATAATTTTGGTTTTAAATAACCTGCAGTGTTAATGTTTAAAACTCAGATCAAAAACAAAATTTTGAATACTGATTTTCAATCTCTGCAAAGCTCTCCTTACTTGAAAGATAACTTCAATAATATTTCTATAAAAATTTTACTCAATTTGGTCTGATATCACCATAAAATGTCAATATACATTTTCATAAATATATGTATATACAAGAATGGATCAATAAATTCATAGACTGACATGTAGTTATTAGGTGAATTTGAAATTTTCACTGTATAAACTTTAACCCATGTAATTTATAGAGAAGTAGTGGGTTAAGCAACATGTGACTAAAACAACCAAGACAAAGACTGAAATATGAGAAACTGAAGAGAATTTTTCAGAATTTTTTTTTTTCCTTGTCTGATTCAAGAGTGTTATAATTTATTTTTATTAAAGGTGGCAGAAAGTGCATCACTGAGGCACATTTTATTAGCTGCACTGATGGTAAAGATTAATGGTCAACATTAATGCTTTATTCACCCTCAAAGAAAGGATATTAACAAGCAAATAGCTGATACATTGCAATCTCTAACATGGGTTTTAGTGGGTAAAAATTTGTAAAAAAAAAAAAAAAAAAACTCCCCAAAAACTATGGCATAAGACAAAAATGTTATTTTTTTCATATTCTAACAGATACATTTGTTCCTTTTTTTTTTTTTTAACTGTGTTGGAATTAGACAGAAATCCTACAAAAATATTAAAAACTAGAGAGAGATATGTTTTAACTAAATTTAGCACTTCATCCAAATTTATATGTTTAATATCAAAGAATTTATTCCACTTTGGAAGTAATAAAAAATACATACAGAGACTTTCTGAGAACAGGAATCAGAATACGGTGCCAATAGGATTAGTCAAAATCTCAGAGAAACTATAAATTTATTGATATCCAGATAAAAGAATTAGTAATGGATCCTCTTTGTTTTTAGCAAGAAAATTTCATTACAAACAAAGAAAATAGTGCTGAACTGCAATGTAATATCAATCCTTCTACATGGCAGTGAATGTGGAATAATTCATTCACAGATGAAGAGGAGAACTGCGGCAACAGATTTGGTTTAACAGAAGGAAAGTGAGAATATCATGGACAGAGCATATGAGCAACAAGGAAGTTTTAAAAAAATGGAAAGGACATTTATATTTAGAATCAGAAAGAGAAAGTTGAAATTTCTGGGACACATATCGAGGAAAGAGAGCTTTGAGAATTTGGCACTTACAAGGCATACTTAAGGCAAGTGGGACAAAGGGAAACATCAAGTAAGGGATAGTAAAAAGGACAAATATTGCTAAGAGTTATAAGGATAGGTAGTTGTGGAGAGCCATAATCACCTTCATCCTGGAGTGATTCAGCAATTAAAAAGAAAAATGGATTAACTTAGCTGATAGTGCTTTTACTTATGATTTGAAAAAGTAATTAATACAGATTTATTTTATAATTTAGTTTGAGTCATATATGTGAGTGTATAAATCCTATACTAGAAATATTGCAACATACTAAAAATTTAATCCAATATATATCTATGAACAAATATCTTATACTGCTAATAAAAAAAAAAAAAAAAAAATCATATAATTGATTATTTTATGACAACGCTTTTTTAGGTTATTTAAAGCTAGAAAATATTTTTAGATCGTAAGAATATTTTGGGAGACAATTATTTTACTAAAACAAGCCCTACTAATTAACCTATAGATGAAGGGGAGAAAAGATGACTTCATACCTTTCCCAAAAGGCATTTGCACATAATGAATATAACGAAACCACCTGGAATTGGAACTCAGCCCTCAGAGTTACAATTACAAACCATTACCCATTCCATTCACTGCTCATCCAAACTTACAGCACCTGGTATTCCCAAGTGGCCATCCATTTAGGTACTGACCAAACTCAACATTGCTTAACTTCAGTGATCTTATGAGAAAAAAAATAGGAAAAAGTGTAATATTTCTGTTCTCAGTTTGACCAACTTCAAAAAATTTTCTAAATCAATTCTTGGTTAGGTCAGTTACTTTTCAGTAACCCCTTGGATATTTTAAAATTTCTTATTACTATGAACATTATTTTTAGTAGATACATGTGTTTGAACTGACATACCTGTTTTTATTTTCTTAAGCAGTGAAATTAATATCAGCAGGCCTAGATCACAAATATTTAAAGTAAAAGTTATATTTTATTTTTATTAAACAAACAGGTAATAGGTTAATAAATGAAATATTAGTGATAGAAATTGTATTTAATTTATAGTAAGTGAATAAAGATTTCTATTTCTAACAGTTTCTTCTTCTATGTGTTGTGTCCATTTAGGACCTTCACAACCATTGTTCTCCACAATTTCCTGTCATTTGTAGCTCTTAATAAATTTTGTCTTTTTCTTGTTTCTCCTAAATTTCATTCCACTATCCATTTATTCAAGCTCGTTAAGTAGGATATATGTTGTTTTCTTCTTGCCTTCAATCTGTTCTGTGAGTATCAAATTTTCCAGGCCTTCTGTCCTCATTATGTGCTCTAGAAATTTTACCTGGTTGTCCTTCTGGTGTCCTTCTTGTTTCCATTTTCTGTAAGACTTCCTCATTGCTCATATGATCAGTCCATGGTATTTTCAGTATACTTCAATAGAAGCACATTTCTCTTGCTTCAAATCTCTTTCATCTATGAAGAGATTGTCCGGTATTCATTGCCATATAAGAGGACTGATATTACATAATATTTCAGTACAATTTTTTTTATTTCTAACATATTTTTCTATTTCTTAATACTTTGCTTAGCTTTTGGGGCAGCATCTTTCATTATCCCAATGCACTTTTGGATTTCAGTGTCACATTATCCATCCTCTGTTAAAACATTTCCCTGATATTTAAACTGTTATACTTGTTTGATTTTGGTATCTCCAATTTGTAATTTGCATGTTGGGCTGTTCCTTTTTGCTAACAACCATGCATTCTATCATCTTGCAATTTTGATGTTTAGTCCTTTCTTCTTGCTTTCCTTTATTACCTTCAATAGGAATTCTTGTAGTTTCCTTCCTTTATTTGCTATCAACACTATCTCATTTGCATATCTCATGTTGTTAAGATTGTGGCTACCAATAATGAATCCAGGAAAGACTTTGAATTCTTTCAGGATTACCTCACTGTATAGGTTAAATAAATCTGGTGAGAAGACCCATTATTGTCTCGCACCCCTTCCTAATTCTTTTTATTAAGCCTTAAAAAGTATGAAAACATGTGTCGAAAACAAGAAAATTTATTTTTGAAGGGTAGTTTTTGCAATTATTTTCACTTTATATTATATACAGAAACTATAAAAGATATTTTAATTCTTTCAGATCATAAAAATAAAGTTGGGAAATAAAACAAAAACAACTGGATTTAATATTTTTTAAATGTCTAATACTCCTTGAAAGATTCAATGCAGTTACACATTCCTTGCACCAAGTTGTCACCATTTTTTACCTCCTCTTCAAGAAGTATGTATGCAGATATAGCATTTTCTTTGACTGCTTCTTCCAGCTTTATTTGGGGACAAATATTTCAGGAAATGACATTTCATGAATCCTAGAGATTCTAATTAGCCATTTAAACTCGAATCATAAATGATGCCTGTATTGTTGGAAAAAGTTTAAATCATCAATTGATATCCACTGATATAGAATGAAGCATTAATTGATAATACCTATCATTTAAGGGTCAAAATATTATTTCGTTACTATAAAATGAATATATATTATTTTATTAAGAGATATTAAATAAATTAAATATTACTTCCAAATAAATAATTAGTATGCCACTTTTCTACCATTCTTTAAGACTGTCTTACAGTAATTTTTGCCAGGAATCCCTCTGCTGACTTCTTCACTATTATAAAACAGCACAACTTCATCAATTGTCTTTTGTAGGAATCTGCATATTCATATATTTGGTAGAAATAATATTCTTTATTTACAAGTTTTTTGGCTTGTCTTACCATCTATGTTGTGGTACCAAATTGCATCTGATTTCTTTGAATACTACAGCTTTTTGAAAGTATTAATCAAAATTTGTACTTTTTGGGATCTCTTAACAATCTGAAGAATTTTCTTTTAATTGTGTAATAATTTCGCTTTCATCAGATCTTTTGTGCTCTTCTACACTGGTAGGTTCTTGATAAGAAATTTTAGTCGAAATCCGTTTAGTTTTCTTTCATAATGCTCCTTTAATTTTTCCTAGTTTTTATTCCTCATAACTGGTTTGTTCTTCATGTTTTTGACACTTGATTGGTGCTTCATCAATCATTGATAGTGACACATTAAAAAGTTGCAATTCTGCTGGTAAGAATCAGTAAGGGAAAGGTGAAATTGTTGGAACACAGAAAGAGGAAAGACGCCAAGGGACGCGGAGGAAAGACGCCAAGGGACGCGGAGGAAAGACGCCAAGGGACGCGGAGGAAAGACGCCAAGGGACGCGGAGGAAAGATGGCATGGAAAGCAGAGGAAAGATGGCATGGAAAGCAGAGGAAAGACAGTGAGAAAAGTAGAAGAAAGATAGCAAGGAAAACATCAAGTAACCTAATTGGTAAGTTTGAGCAAATGGATAGACAGAAAAATATCCCAAAGACAAAGAAGGTACATAAAGGAGAAAAGATTGTTGAGAGTAAGAAAAAAAAAAAAAAGAAATTGTGGAGAATCATGATTACTCATGTTCTGAATGAACAAGAGAAAGAGAAAGATATAATCAACTGAAACAATGAACTCCTTGTTTTTAACTATCAGAGAACAGAATACAAAGCCAATGTTTTAATCACACAAGGCTTATCTAGTAATAGTTTATATTGTAGCATGTGAAATAGGCTTCTTTCTGATAATTTATTTTTTCCTTTATAGCTGAATGGACAATAAGAATATATCCTCTTTCCAGACATTTTTGTGACAAGAATGTCTGATATTTGCATTCTCATTCCATGTTACTTAGAGTTGCAAAGAGCAACTGAAAATAGAATTAATGCTAGTTAATAATCTACAATTCTTCATTTAAGGAATTTAATAATAACTTGGTGAATTAAGATAGAGTAATTATGTAGGTAGGGTAATGGTTAACAGCTTGGAACAAGAAATTAGTGAGCTGAGTTTGAATTCTGGCTGGGTTTGAACAAATATCACAGGGAAAAGTATGAATCAATCTTTTCTCCTCCTGCTATGGATTAAACAACAGAGCAGACAGGATTCTCTATCTGTGGATGGCAACCAGTCTAGGAGAGTGACAACTCTGAATTCAAAACTGTATTGTAGCCATCATGAAACATACTATACAGCCAAGAAAAGGATGATGGATTTCACCATTAACTGAGTCCATTATCTTAACTGAGGTCAATTAGTTAAGCAAGCTTCTTCTATGTGCTGTGTCCTTTCAGGATGTTGGTAATCTTGGCTCTCGACAATTTCCTGTCCTTTGTAGCTCTTAATAAATTTTGTCTTTTTTCTTATCTCTCCTAAACCTTGTTCCACCATCCTAGCTCACTAGTTATGCATTGTTTCCCTCTTGCCTTCAATCTTTGTGAGCATAATTTTTCTAAGCCTTCTTTCCTCATTATGTGTCCTCGAAATTTCAACTCTCTCTTCTTGATGTTAAATATAAGTGTCCTTTTTGTTTCCATTTTCTCTAAAACTTAGTCATTACTTAGATGTTTGGTCCATGGTATTCTCAGTATCCTTCTGTAGAACCATATTTCTTTTATTTCAAGTCTTTTTTTGATTGTCCAGTATTCACTGCCATATAGAAGGACTGATATTACATAACATTTCAATACTCTTTTCTTTGTTTCTAATGAAATTTTCCTGTTTATTAATATTTTGCTTAAGCTTTTAGAATGCATCTTGCATTATCCCTTCAGATTTCAGTGTTACACTTTCTGTCATCTATTCCATTCAATACTAAAGATGTTGCCTGACCATAATCAGTTAGGTGTGTCCTTCATGGACTGACCCACTGTACATCTCTGTTCATAAGCGAGAGTAGTTAGAGAGCATCATAGCCAGGCGATGAAAGTTTTTTTTTTTTTTTTAGGTTGGAGGATGAGGCAACAAAGATAAATTGGGAGTCACATCTAGATACTTGGAAACACCCTCAGTTGGAGACCATCTGAGCAGACTGGGTTACCTGACCTGAAGATATTTCTAACTGTGCTTCTGCGGTAAGTTTATGCACAGCTTTATCAAAACCTATCACCATAACATGCACATATGGCTGGGATGCATGTTCCCAGTATGCATTAAAAACTGGGTGCCTTGAGGGGTATATTGGGTTTCATATAATTATACCCCAGCATAACTTTGTTGGCATGCTGTTCTCTCACCCAATAATAACAACAACAATAATAATAATAATAAAGACTGAAACTGAAGGTTTCATTCTTGCTGTATAGGACCAATGCTTGCTAACTAGAAATTACCAAGCATACATACTGAAAAATTGTGTTAGTCCAAAATGCAGATCTTACTTATTATAAAACACAGATTGTGTGTGTGTGTGTCTGTAACGTTTATATATTGGATCAGATTTCCTACATTTTTCAACCGATTTCAACAAAACTTCACAAGACTACATAAAATTACCTTGTGGTGGTTCAAACAGCACCAAAAATGGGAAAAATATAATTGTTTTTGCACAAAATCAATTTGAAAACACGATTAAGAGACATCGTGAAAATGGAAGGGGGACAACTCACATCGGATTTTTTGTGTGTGTGGGTTCCTTTAAATATGGGAGCGGATTTCCTATATTTTTCAGCCGATAAAACAAAACTTCACTTTTTTTTTTTGGCAGGTAGTGTTTCTTATTCTCTTACACACTTTTTTCTTTATTTTTAATATTCACAATGCTTTAAAAATTCCATTTACAAGACAATTATTTATAATAAAATTCTATTCAATTGGGAGACTCATAACA